CCCGTCGCCCATTGGCCGCGGCGCGCCCACATGCAAATAACCCACCGTCGCGCTCTCCTATTGGCCCGCGCTGCGCCCCGCTCGGGCGCTCCCCTGGGTCCTAGAGGCAGTTCAAGAGAGCCCCAGGGAGCCGGGCGCCGCGCCCCGCCCCGCTGGTTCGAGCTCCGTCTCGCGGGCCGGAGCCACGAGGCGCCGGCGACCTACGCCCCTTCGTCAGCCTCCATCGAACGCGCCTTTTAAGCCTCTGGACGCGGGGTGGCGTGGGCAAGGCCCCAGCGCACCTCCCGGCCGGGGGATGTTTCTGGGTGGCGCTTCAGCGTTCGCAGCGAGGCCCCTGAAGGAGCCCCATTGCTTCCGGGAAGGACTAACCTGCCCCCGGCCTCCCCCATTGACGGAGGGTCTTAGGGGAGAAGGTACCTGCCTGGGATCGGAGCCCCGAGGGACAGAGTTCTGCACTTCTCTTGGCAGCAAAGTGTCCTTGAGTCTGTGTGGTGCCCAGGCCTCAATTTCTTCTGTCTCTGAATCCCCCTAACTTGTAAAGTGCTGAGCATGGGTGTGCACACAGCAGGACCTCCGTCCTTAGTATGAACAGCCGGAGCCTGGCAGGGGATGGTGGGCCATACTGGTGGCTGGCAGGGAAGCTGATGTCAGACAAGGCCAGGAAGGGGTGAGAGCAGGCGGAGAGCTGGGGCAGAGTCAGGATCAGTGCTTCCCGGCTCTGGGGCAGAGTCAGGATCAGTGCTTCCCGGCTCCAGGTCTCTGCCAGTCAGCTGTGCAGGAGTGGGGGCCTGGAGGACACTGGGGAATCAGAAGGTATTTCTTCCCGGGTCTGATGAGTCTCTGGCTGGGCTTTTGCTGAGGCTTCCCCACCAGCAGTGTGGACGGGTGGCGGGAGCCAACCAGGCTGCCGGTGGATGTGCTCAGAGCATACAGCTTTTATTTCACTTGATTTTGGGAAAACTGAAGCCACCTTTGACAACAGGGAGATCACACACACACGCACACACACACCTGGCAGGACTTCCCTCAGATTGCAGTCCCTCAGCCCAGGGGGAAGGTCATGCCCATCCCGGGAACCAGGTCTCACCCAGCCCAGTCGGTGGCCCATGTCCTGCAGCCCTACAGCATGTGCACATGGCTGTGCGTGGTGCTGGGTCACGCCTGCCTCTGCCTGGCAGACCGATGGGACCTTCTTCACACAGCGTGGGCCTGAGTGTTCCTTGCCTCCACCTGGACCTCTTTCCAGGTATCCAGTGCAGGGCTCCGTCCATACACTGTTCTGAAGATGTCACAGAGGAGCTGGTTTTGTTCTGCCCTCTAGGGAGTGATCTCCTGGTCCCCAGTGTGGTCAAGCACCCCTGGGGACCCCTGCCTGGGTGGGTGGAGGCCTGGTGGCCCCGGCCCTGCCAGATACACTCGTCCTTCTTTCTGTGTTTATTTTGTGAGAGCTCTGGGAACCCTGCCTGCGAGGACACCGCAGCCCACCCACCTCCCCCTGTCCTGGCTGTCCGAGGTCTGTGTGCCGGGAAGCCACGAGGGGGCGCCCAAGACTGTGGCTCGGGGCTTGGTGAGCAGAGATTCGGGGAGGTCAGGGTGGTCTGCTGGAGGAGAGAGGCTGCCTGGGAAGGGCTGCCTGGACAGCAGGGGTGGAGACTGTGCCAGGGCCTAGTAATTCCCCCTTCCTGTCCACGCTTCCTCCACAGGAGCAGATGCTGGGCTGGACATGGGGGCAAGGCCGGGGGACATCTCCCAGATGGGTGGAGCTGGGAGGTGATGAAACACCAGCTCCACAGGCTCAGTCTTCCATCCCCTCTGGGAGTGGGCCAGCTGTGCCCCCACCAGCCATGTGGGGCTGGTCTGGTGGTGTGGCCTGTCCAGGCCATGGGGGGCAGGTGAAGAGCCACTCAGGCAGACCGTGGGGGTTCCAGTCCCGCTGGCTAAGTCTCCTCCCAGCCGCTGCTGGAGGGTGAGGGGCTGCTGCTGGCGTCCCCTGGGTTCCCCGGTCCCTCAGCTGCTGTCAGGGGCTCTTTCAGCTCCCCTCTTCCTCTGGATGGTTTCTTGGAGGCTGTAGGGGTAGACGGAGGTCAGGCTAGAGCCGAGGCTGTGGGATGAGGCAGCCCTGCGTGTCCTCGCTTGAGGTGACGCTGGCTGACACCAAGCCATGGTGAAGTTGACTGGCTGCTCTGGGTCCTAACAAATGGGAGAGGGTCACCCAATTTGAGGATTAACTGTGAGAATGGGATGGAGGGTGACCCCCTCTCCCCAGGCGAGTGGCCCTAGAGATAGGTCCTGAACCTGCCACCTCCCTTGCCACCTTGCAGGGAGTCTGGGACATCCCGAATCACCTGAGCCTATGGAACGAGCTCTCAGAAACCCAAGCCCCTGGCTGGGACCACCAGAGATGAGGGTCTGGCCCTGGGATTGTCCCGGAGGACCTGCCGGATGCTGTCCCAGGCCCATCTCTGATGTAGAGTGAGCTTGGGCTCTAGACTGAATGGGCCAGGGTTGAATCCTGGTCCTGGTACCAGCCCATGACCTTGGGCAGGTCACCTTCCCTCTAAGCCTCAGTTTCCCCACTTGTGAAACAGTGACAGTCTTACTGAGGGCAGAGCGCCTCCCACCCTCTCTGGGCACAGGTCCAAGGGCTGGGGGACACCACACATGGCTGTGTGAAGCCCTGCCCAGTTCACAGGATGGGTGAGGGCCCTGTTCTCACTGACCATAAATGGGGTGTCTTGGGGCAGTGCAGTGCTGCCCTCGGAGCTCCTACTAGTCCACCGGCCCTGGCCCAAGTGGGTAGACAAAGGGAGCTGACTTGGCTGGTTGGTGGGTGGGAGTGACTGCCTCAAACCCAGCAGACTGCATCCCACCAGGACCATTTCCTCAACAGGAAGTGCCTCAAATGAGACAGCCAAGCCAGCCTCCACCAGGGCTGGGGCAGACGTGGGATGCGGCCACCTTCCCGGTGACAATGGCACATTGTGACGGCACAGCCCAGCCTGCCATGCCACAGGCCCTGCTTGGACAAACACCAGAGTCGGCGGAGATTAGCTTAGGTGCCCAAAGGCTCTCATGGAGCTGCTGTTGTGCAGGAGCAGGAAGTGGGAGGTTGTCCTGATGCCCTCTGACCACCAGGGCCTTATCAGGAGGAGCCAGGCCCAGGGCGCCGCCCTCAGCAAACACCCCAGCAGTGCCCCATTCCCCCAAGAGGAGCAAACACGCCCCATGCCCAAGGGGCCACGCCATCCACTGAGGCTCCTGTCTGCAGGTGGACTTGAGGGCTGGGGCCGACCCCCCACAGGGGCCAGGATGGTGATGGGGTTAATGGGGTTTACCCCTCACCCCGTTGAAATCTACCAACCCAGTGTCAGCCTCTCTTACAGGTGAGAAAAACTGAGGCTCAGGGCTGAAGGGACTGGCCCTGGACTACAGGCGAGGAGATTGCAGAGGTTGGACTCCCCCAGGCTAGCCCAGGCCCTCCTCTCTCGTTGCCTGATCCGGAGAGGGTCAAGGGCTTCTGGCTTCAGTTGTTCTGAGGACGGACAGAGGGAGGGTGGCGTGGGGACACATGGGCACTGTGGCCCCCTCTCCATCCCCCACCTGGCCCCACCAGCCATACCTTTGCTGCCCAGCTCTGAAACCTGCTTCCTCTTCCGTTGCAGCCCCTGAGAGTGCTCCTGGGTGCAGACATACCTGGGCCCATCCCCTGGCCTGCTCAGAGCAGCACCTGCCTTGGTGCTTGGGCTCACCTGGGCAGAGGGGTATGGTCAGGGCAAGGGACTCGTTCCCCCCTCCAACCTGGGAGGCCCTGCCCCACGACCCTACCCATGAGCAGCTGGGACCCACCTCGCTGTCTGAGCTGTCTGGCTTGTCCAGTTCTACCGAGTCTGCCCACTGCACTTCCGCCTTGCTGGGCTCTGGAGGATGCAGGGTGTGGGGTCAGGCCAGGCTGGTGGCCCTGGGAGTCTCCCGAGCCTGCCAGACTAGGATGGGGGGGGGGGTAACGACTCTGCAGGTGAGGAAACTGAGGCTCAGAGGACCAAGTAACCTGGGGACAAGGCTGGGGTGCCTTCCCTGGCTTGGCCACTGCATGATGGGGAGCTCATCACCTGCCCGCCTTCCCTGACTGTTAAGGTGCTTTTCCCTTCATGAGAGTGGCCACAGAAGCACCTTCCCAGGGCCCTCCATGCCTTCCTCTGTCTTGCAGGAGGAGGAACCAAGCCTCCACTCCGGCCAATGGGCAGAGCTGGGTCTTGAGATGCCCCTCCCTGTGGGAACCAACCACTTCCCTCCCTCCCTGCTAGAGGCTGCTTCCCAGCTGGGTTCCAGCTGGTGACCCTAGTGCTCATTTACCTGGGTGGCCATCGGGGTCCAGTGTCTGTGGGTGGGGGAGCAGCTTCGACCTTTCCCTGGCCTCATCACCTATCCCGCCTGGAGAGGGCAGGCTGGGTCGTGACCTTGGGAGAGGGTGTGAGGGGTCCTGGGGGAGGAAGAACATAGTTTGAGTTTATCTGGGGGACCTCCCTGCCCTCAGCTCAGCCTCAGTCACAGCCTGCGGGACCACCCTGGGGCTGTAGCGGGGACGTGGGGGAAGGAGTTGACCTTTCCCCACTGGTGGGAGTCAGGCAACCATGCTTCCTCCCTGGGGCCTGACCAGTAGGGCAGAGGGAAGAGAGCAGCCTAGGCCTGGTTGTAGGCCAGCTTGTGGTGGGGTACGTGGAGGTCAAGGACAGGGACGGCATGGAGGCTAGGGCGGGGCTCCTTACTGCAGGTGTAGGGGGCTCTCCTGGCTCTGGTGCTCTGACCCCCTGGGTGCCATTGCTGAGTTGCCGGGGGCTGTGAGTCAGGAGTCTGGACTGGGTGGGCACCTCAGGGCTGGGACTGTGGGCAGCTTTGGGGCTGGGTGGCCCATGCTGGCCAGCTAGCCTGAAGGCATCCCGGCTCCGGCTCCGCTCTGAGAGGTCCAGGGGCTTGTCTAGGGCATAGTCCTGTGTGGCTACAACCTCCTTCCTCCATGGAGACTGTCTTCTGGGCAGGAAGGCTGTGGCTAGAGCTGTCCTGGCCACTTCGCCCTCGGGGCTCTCAGAGTCTGAGCCTCCTGGATGGGAGGGTGGTGTCTCCCCAGGTGTGGATGGGCCCCTGAGCCTGGCGCTGCCTGCCCCCACCCTGGTCCTTGCCCGCAGCTGTTGCTGGGCCAGGAGCAGGTGCAGTGTCCCCTCTAGCTGTGGGTCCTGCATGCCTGCCAGGGCACTGGTTAGGCCCAGCAGGCCCGTGGGCTCCTCCCAGGCCTCAGCGTCTCCAGCCTTCAGGCACTGGAGCTGGGAGCTGCTGTGGGTTGCAGCAGGGGCCAGAGGGCCACTGCGGGGGCTCCGAAGGTGCAGGGACAGGTGGTGGTTCAGGAGGCAGAGTCGGTCAGCCTGTGGGTGGTGCTTCAGGGATGCGTAGGTCATGGCTGAGGTTCGGGAGGCCCGCAGGAAGCTACAAGGGAGGAGGGGCCTAATGACTGGCAGCAGTTAGCAGTTACAGGCCAGGTGAGCCCTGCGGGGGACAGGCAATAGGCACCCTGTTTCACAGGTGGGGGAACTGAGGCCCAGGGAGGTGAAGCATACCACCCAGGCTCACATGGCAGGTAGTGGAGAGAGGAGAGGCTCCCAGCCTCAGCTCTGGAAGCCAGGCCATGAGGATGGCTGTCAACTTACTCAGAGGCACCTGGGGCCTACATTCTAAGGAGAGGCTGGGCAGCAAGTCTTCCGCCTCTTTCTGGTAGGATGTTCCACTTGCAGCTGATGCTGCCTGCTCCTCACCTGGAGTGCCAAGTTCCCTCACCTGGAGTGCCTGGTACCCCCTGGAGTGCCTGGTCCCCTCACCTGGAGTGCCTGGTTCCCCTCCCCACCCTCCGCCCCTTCATTCTCAGACACAGAGAAGGAGGCTTTGCATGGGCCTGAGTTTCCTTCCCAAGGAAGGAGGCATCCACACGGGCACCATGCTCTAAGCAGGGCACTCTGGAAAGGCCAAGACAGAGAAGAGCACAGCCTGGAGGGGTAATCCGGGGACCATGTGAGCTGAGGCGGGGCTCAGTGGGGCCCTCACCTGTCCAGGGCGAGGTTGTGCTCATCCGGTGGGCTAAGTGGGCTGCTCCTGGCAGGTGGTGGGGGTGTCCCACTGGCAGAGCCACAGTCAGCTGGGTAGGTGCGGGCCCCAGGCCGCACCACCGCGATGGTCCCATGCAGCTGGTTGGAGATGTGCTGGGGGCTCTATGCAGGGTGGGCAGGTCAGCCTGGTGGGACCTCTGATACCTGGCCCTGAGCTATCCTGCTCTCTGTAAGAGCTCAGGCAGGCACCCACCCCACTGGTCCCTGCCTCCAGCCGCAGGAAATGGAGCTCAGTGGCCCCTGCCTGCACCAAGGACAGGTGTGAGTTTCATGGGAGGCTGTCACATAGCAGGGCCCAGCAGGGCATGGGGGGCTCCCGGCACCTCAGTCTTACCATGTCAGGGGCCCGAGGCTCAGGCAGGCTGGCCCCTGGGGAGGTTCTGGTCACTGGTGATGTCCTGTGACTGGCCGGTCTTTCTGTGGGAGGAGTGTGCATGGGGGGAGTAGGGGGGACTTGGGAGGTGCTCAGGGGATGGCAGCCCAGCCCTGGGGAGGACTCCAGTCTCTTGGCCTCTCCTGCCTCCACTGCACCTTTTCCTGGTGGACCCGCCCTGTGGTCTTCCTCAGCCTCCTCATGGCCTCCTGGTGGCTTCTCGGTGATGGCCTTCCAGCCGCTGGGGGAGGGGAGCAGTAGGGGCGAGGGGGCGTCTGAGGGGTCCTCCCTGGCCTGAGGCTTGAGGCTGTCTCAGGAGGGGAGAAAAAGAAGGGAGGGTGAGGATGGGCCAGGAGCAAAGACTGTTGGAAGTGCCAGGGCCCCTTCTGGGCAGCCAGGGTCGCAGCCCTCCCACGTGCCTGTGGCTCCCCAGGGTGCCGAGGGCCTGCCGGAGGTTGCTGGGGAGCTGGCATCTGGCCCCGGCACCCCTCCACTCACTCTAGGCTCCGAAGCCGCTTCACCTCCTCCTTCAAGCTCTCGTTCGCCTCCTTCAGCACATGCATCTCAGTGGCTGCGAAAGGCAGCGTCAGCAAAGTCCGGGAAGGGGGAGAAAGGGCAGGGCGAGGGCGGGGTGCTCACAGCCCTGGGAAAGCCCTCCTTGTTCTGCTGCCCACAGGGTCCCCAGCACGTGGCCCAGGGCCTGGCACTCAGCAGGTGCCCCATCAGTGCTTGCTGACAGGGACATGGGTGGAAGCTGTTGAATGAACAGCACCAGCCCCGATGTGTGAAAAGCAACGGACTCCGCCCCGCCCCCACCCTAAGCTTGTCCCTGCAGCCTTCCAGGGGAGAAGGAGCTCATCTTTGTCATCAGCAGGACAGGGTGGTCTCAGGACTCTGCGGAACCCCCATCCAGGGAAGAGGTTGGGCCCCAAGGGGCAGGGATGCCCCACAGATGACTGATCAGTGAGGGCAGCGTGGCCAGGTGGGCCCTGTACTGTTTGTCTGCAAATCGGGACCTGGGACCGGACCATCCTCCCTCCTCTCCCATGACCCTGTGTGGGGCTGGGCAGGCCTAGGGTCACTTGGCCCCCATGAGAGGGGCCGCGGGCTACAGGTGAGGCTCACTGAGGATGAAGATGTGTTGCAGGCTCTGGAGGTGAGAGCTCTCAAACTCATGCTGTTTTCTCTTGGCCAGCTCCTGGGTGACCATGCAGCGGTCACACAGGCCAGCCCGCAGCCTGCAGGGACAGAGGAGGCATGAGGTCACTATGAGGCAGATGGCCGAGGCCCACAGAGGAGTTGGGCCCCACACTCCCCATTGCCAGGAGGTGCCCCCACCCCTCCCCAGTTGTGTTCCATGGAACCTCAGGCCTGTTCTCCACCCTGAGGGCTAGGCATCCCATGTTCAGTTGAGTTTGGGAAGATTGGAAATGTAATTAACTTAAGGCTCTGAGAAGTCCTGCAGTGGAGATACCTGCCTGGTTTAGCTTACCCTGGGGTTTCCCAAACTCATTCTCTGAGGAACATTTGCTATCTCCCCCACCCCTGAGCCCACCAATCTTAAGTGTGCTGTTGGGGTCTCCCGGGCACCTGTTTTCCAGCACCCGCAGGTTTTCCTTCAGCACCTTCTGCTGCTCCCGGAGCTGGTGGTTCTTTGCAAAGAGCTCTTCGATCCTCTGAGCATCCCTGGTGGGAAACGGCCAGAGTGGGGGCCCACTCTGCCCCAGAAACCACGTGCAGTCCCCACCGTCCAGACTGAGGCCCAGCTCCAGCCAGCACCTGGCAGCCTCAGTGTGGGGCCAGGTCCTGCCCAGTACATCCCATGGTGAGGTTCCACCCTTGATTGGGGCCCTGCTGGGCACTGCCTAACCTGGGGTCCCAAATGTGAGTCACGTGCACACCATTTGGTGACATTCGTCCCCGCCATATGACACCGAGCGCCAAGGTGCACGTTCAGCCTGGGCGTCACTGTGAGTGTTGTGGCTGACGTCTGATCAACACCCTGGGGAGGCAGGGGCTGGCAGGCCTATGAGGCCAATGCACCAGGTTCAAGTCATGACTCTACCCTACTTGCTGGTGACCTTGGACAAGTGACTCATCCCCTACTCTAACACACATTGTGCCTCAGTTTCCCCTTCTGCATTCCAGGATGGTGGCAGTGCTGGTGCCTTGGGCTTTGGGGGGACACGTGCTGAGCTGTGTGACCCTGTGGGTAGCAGCTCTCACTGCTGGTCTGTTTCTCACCCACCTGGCCCCACCTGACTCACCGGCACCTCTCTGAGTTCAGTTCCAGAAGCTTGTTCTGCAGGCCTGGTGGAGGGAGTGGGGCAGAAGGTCAGGCCCAGCCCACTGCTCCCTTGCAGCCTCCCTGTAGCAGGATCTGGGAAGAGCCACATGGTGGCATGCATGTCCCCAGCTGCCAGGCAGGGTCCTCTCCAGACTCTTCTCCAGCCCAGGTGAAGCTGGCCTGAACCCTGAGGCTGCCTGCCAGGTGGGCCCCATCTGTGCTGTCTCTGCAGCCGTCTGAGGCCCTGTGGCCTGGCCCGGCATCCCTCCCTTCCTCCGGAACCTCTGACTCTGGCCTCTCTGGAAATTCGTAGGATGCTGGAATGCCTAGCTATCTAGAAAGACAGAGGTGCTGAGGGGGCCATTTTGCGGAGGGGGGCAGCTAGTGTTGCACTAAGGTGGGTTGTGGGGACAGACTCCAGTAGACCCTCCTTGCTGCTCCTTTGGTATCCAGCTTGGGCCCAGTTAGCCTGGGGCTGAGGGTGGTGTGAGGGTCTCACCTCAGCAGCACCCCTATTCCCATTACTCAGGAAGTAGCCAGGCCCTCTAGCCCTCAGGTGTTTGTGAGTATCTGGTGGGAAGGCCTCTGAAGGGGCTGGTCCTGGACCTGGAGTGGGCTGGGGGCTGCAGTCCTGTCCCTGGTAGGGGTGTGGGGACAGAAGCCTGGGGCCTGGGGCGTGTCCTGGAGGGAAGAGCTTCAGCTCAATGCCCTGACACATCCCACCTGGCCTCAAGGCCATGGGCTTCTGTTTCTGGATGCTCCTGCTGGGCCCACAGCCCTGCCCTGGGGAAGCATCAGCAGGCCAGGGCTTCTCACTCTTGCAGCCAAGGTGGGTGTTTGTTTCTGCCTGGTTGCTGACCCTTGGGAGGATACAGCCTGGGTGTGTGGTGGCAGAGGTGCTGAGTGGGCCATTTTGGGGTGAGGGGCAGCTGAGTGTGGTAGGGGCCACACTGGAAAGTGCCCCGCCCCTCGGGGCCACACTGGGCGTGTCCAAGGACACCGCAGCGCGAGAGCAGCACTAGTGGGTATGGGTCCCAGTGGGGACATTTGAAGCACTGAGCCTTGGGTCAGGAGCCCCTTTCTCTGTCAGAAAGCCAGGTCCTAGAGTTACTGAGGGTTGAGGTGACCCTGGGAGTCCCTCCTGCTCAGCTGAGGACCCTGTGTGCAGTGAAGGCCTCAGGGAGCCCCAGCCGGCATCTGTCCTGGCCACTCACCCAGGACCTCCTGCTCGTGGATGTCCTTCAGTCTGTTCAGTGACTCCGTGAAGCTCTCCATGGCTCTCGGGCCCACCCAGGCCCCTCTGCGCCAGGGACTGGGCACAGCCTGCAGTCTCTACAGCTCCTTTGCTTCTAGCCTGCGGGGAGCAAAGGGAGGAGGTAGCTCAGGTGGCCAGAGGAGGATGTGGCTCCCATCCCTTGTGAGGCAGCCCATCATGCTGGGGAAACCACCCAGGGAGGCTCTGCTGGAGGCCCCAGAGCCCACAGGCAGGCAGGGAGGGGGTTGTGCGGGGCCACCCATGGAGGTCATTGCCCAAGCCAGGGGTCAGGGTGCTGGTGCCTGTGGGGAGGGGCAGGAGGGAAGGGGGCCTCTGGGGTAAGTGTCTGTCCCTCTAGGCTGCCCTGGCCCCTGAGGCACTCAGCCCCTGGTGCCTGGTGCTGTCCCCATGTGAGCCAGTACTGGAGGAACCTAGTTGGAAGGACAGGGAGACTGAGGGGGGATCAAATGGTGCTTGTCCAGCTGCGGGCCAGAGTCAGGCCTCATAGGCAAGATTGGTACACACCCGATGTGTCACCACCCACATCTTAGCTGTCACTGCCACAGTGACCCTTCCCCCCCCTCCCCCAACCCTAATCGCTGAGGCCCTGTGCTAAGGAGAGGCCTTCTGTCCTGGGGGCTCTGTGCTCCTCCAGGGCCGCACAGACCCCAGGCCTTGCACACAGACACACATGCACAAAGACAGCATGTACACAAGAGACGTGCACACACATGCATAAAGACAGCATGTACACACAGCAGGCATGTACACACACACACAAAGACAGTGTGCACACACAACACACATGAACATATATGCACAAAGACAGTGTGGGCACACAATAGGCATGCACACATATGCACAAAGATAGCATGTACATATACAACACAATGCACACACACGCACAGAGACAGTGCACACACACATGAACACACATGCACAAAGATAGCATGCACACACAACATTCATGAACACACACACACAAAGATAGCATGCACACACAACAGGTATGCATGCATATGAGCAAAGACAGTGTACACAACACAACACAGTGCACACACATGCACAAAGACAACATGCACACACAACTGGTGTGCACACATATGCACAAAGACAACATGCACACACAACAATGCACAAACATGCACAAAGACAGTGCATGCACACACAACATACATGAACACAATGCACAAAGACAGCATATATACACAACGGGTGTGTACAATGTGCAAAGAGGTGTGGGTGATGACACAAGTCCAAAGACAGCACATACACACATGTGCACATACAATATACGCAATGCACATGCACACACTCAGAGACACATAGATGTATGCAACACATGTTCATGCACAGGCAGGCATGCACACACACAATACACAGACATGGAGACATGCAGAGACACACAGGCACATGTGGTGGTGCACAGATATATGCAGATGTATAGACAAATAGAGTACATACACCAGACATGCCAGTCCCGGCTGCCCAAGGATGTCAGCCGAGATTGAGAGGCTGGGGCCCCAGGAAGGCACAGGGCCACCCTGGAGAAGGTCACTGGCCACGGCGCCCTTCCTCCCGGCCTGCAGGTCCTGGGAGGGCCTTGGAGGGTGAGAACGTCTTGTGCGCCCACAGCCTGAGGCTGGAGTTAAGAACTGTGGGCCATGAGGTCTGGGTTGGGGACTCTGAGGCCTGAGCAAGTGTGTCTCCAAGCCCTCAGGCCTCTCCCAGTTCCAGGGTCCTGGAGAGGCCCGGCAGGGCAGGCCTCCGGAGTGGTGATCTGGCAGGGCTGTGGCTGCCTTCCCTGCCTCCCTCCTCCCTCTTCTCCTCTTTCTCCACCCTGGTTGCCCCAGGCCAGGGAGACTGGACCCCGAGCCTATAAGCCAGTGCTTGTGACACACAAGCCCGACCTCTGTGCGGGTGGGTTTCCACTCACTCAGGCTGCGTTCTATGCTGGATGGGCAGTGTTCATGTGTATGCTGTGTGCATGCATGTTGTGTGATATGTGTATGTGCTTTTGTGCTGTGTGCACGTGCATTCTGTGTGTGCATATGTATGCATGCATGCACATATATGCTGTGTGTGCTGTGCATGCATATGTGTGCTATGTGGGCATGCTGTGTGTGCCATGCATATGTGTGCTGTGTGTGTATGTATGTGCACGCCCAAGCCACCACTACTCGGACAGCTGCGTCAGCCTCCTCCCTGGCCTCTCCTGTCTCCTTGTCTCCTGCCTCCCCTTCCTCCCCAGACCCACTTTCCACACATGCAGTGCTGTCACCCCTGGAAATCTCAGGCCTCTTTTCAGACTTGCACTGGCAGCAGGAGGCTGTGCCAACGCCTTGTGTGGCCACAGAGGAGCAGACATGGGCTTCTTAGCATCTTCCAAGTTTGCCCTAAAGATGCCCACAGTCGTTCTACTCTATACAACGGTCCTAGATGAGAACCCCACATGAGCAGCTGCCATGCAGCCCTGAACCCATCATGGTGTGCTCCCAGTGACCCGAGTCAGAGGTGAGGGGACACTGAGTGCAAAGAGGCGTCTTACTTTGGACTCCTGGAAGTCAGATGGTGAGCACCTTTGGGCAAGTCCAGGACACCCCAAGAGAAGCCAGGGGGCTGGGGTGGGGGTGGTGGCTGGAACCACCAGAAGGAGAATCTTCTGACTTGAGGCCAGGGCCCTATGTGGTGGTCAAGGGTGGAAGCTGTGACTTTTGGAGGCCAGGCCTGGTGGGGTGGGGGGCAGCTGGGAATGTGGAGCAGGGTCCCGTGTCCTTGGGTGGCTTCAGTGTCTATGGGAGCCACTAGCCTGGATGGCTGGGGTGTAGAGGAGGGCAGGGCACCAGAACGACTTTCACAGAACCCCCTGGGCTCCAGGACCCCCTAAAAGTCCACCAAGGGAGTGGGGGTGGCTGCTGGGTCAGGTGGGTGTGGGGTCTAGGACTGAGGAGACTTGGGAGCCTGGCTGGCCCTGTGAGGGAAAGGAGAAAAAGACGTCAGATCCCAGGGCTGAGGCGGCCAGACTGGGCTGGGGGTTATAAGGCCAGCATTAGTGATGATTCCAGCCCCATTCCTGAGCTGGATTTGTGACATCCTTTACACGAGAGCCTGTCTACCTTGAACACACTGCAAGCAGACCTCTCCAGATGGGGAAACTGAGGCTCAAAGAGATCATGCTCCCCACCTCGTCACCCAATGGGACGTGGGAATTGGGGTTGACTGGGCTCCTGGGCTGTGGATCCTGTATTCCCTCCCGTGGACCGAGGGCATGTCCCCAGTGGCCCCGGTGCATAGCTATGCTAGCTGGTGGCCCAGGGACTCCTGGGAGGAGATGCCAGAGCCAGGGCCTCCATGGGAGCAGGTCAGGCTGGGAGGGTTGGGAGAAGGTCCAGCTGCAACTCCTGAAATTCTACCCCAACCCGCCCAACGGGCAGCTCTTCCCTGGCCCCCAATGCCCGTGAAGGGACCGCTCAGGGAACCCTGGGTACTTATGGTCCCAGGAAGGTCTGTGTGGGCTCTGGGTCCACACAGGATGTGGGCATCATTCCCAATGACATCACTGTGGTGTGAGGCCGAGGAGGCAGCTCCAGGACTCCCTCTGCAGCCTCCGCTCCTCTGGCCTGTGGGCTCTTCTCTGTGCCCCCAACCACCCTGTGGGCCCCACCTGGCTGCTCCTCTTGAGGGCCCCAAAGGACAGTGGAAAAGATCCCTGCACACTGGGCAAGGGACCAGGGACAGGGCCTGAGGCAGGGTTGGGGTGTCTGGAATCAGAGCTGGAGGACACATCCCATTGGAGCCCCTCATGTCCTGGGGCCAGGTTGGGACTCAAAAAGTGCATGGATGACCAGTACCTGGGGTGGCATGACATCCCTGGGTGGTAGCCAACAAAGATGCCAAATGGCCAGCAGCTCCTGGGCTCCAGCCACCTCTGGCACCCCGTCCCAGCCTCTGCCCTCAATCTCTATCTTCCTAGAGTGCTGGGAGGTCTAGGGAAGGGGTGGAAGGAGGAAGTCCCCATAGGGTGGGCTCTGCGGAGGACGTGGCGCAGTGGTGGAGCCTGTCGAGTTTGGACAAGGACCCAGGGCTGCTCCCATGGCTCTGCCAGGCTGGTGGGGTCCGCTTTCCCCAGTCGCCTGGTTGGGGGTTGTCAGGTTCATCTAGGGAGGCTAGGGGTGCTGGGGTGCAGGACTCTGAGGGGTGCCTGCAGGCCTGGGGGCTGCAGTGGGTTGTGATGGGGGCAAGCCCATAGGGAGGAACTGCAACCTTTGGGCCTGAGAGTCTCCTGGAAGCCTCGGGAGCTTCACAGAGCTGGGGCGGGTGAGGTAGGCAGAGATCTGGGCCTGCTCCCCAGGACGAGTGCAGGGGTCTACTAGCCCCACCCAGGTGGGAAGGTGTCTGGGGGCTGTGCCCATGGAAGTAGAAGGGGAGGGAGGGCAAGTGGGTCAGCCTCTGTCCCCGGTTGCAGTCCCACTGCCATGAGGACAGGACTTGGAGGTCGGGGTCTTGCCCACGGTCAAAGCCAGCAGCAGATGGGACAGGGCTTGGGCTAACCGGGACTGAGTCTGTGGCCTCCAGTGGGGCGGGGTTCCTGGTACCAGCACCAGCACGCCCACTGGCCAAGTGGCAGTGCACCGTCTTGACCAGAACTGAGCAGAGAACATCTAATAAGTCAGAACATCCCCCGCCCAGCACAGCCCTGGAAAGCCAGACTCCTTCCAGCAGTGCAGGGAGCTGGTGACCACCTTCCACCTCAGTTCCTCACCTGGGGAACAGGTACATGCCCTGGGCCCTGCCAGCCCTCCTAAGATGCCTCTCTTCTTCCCTCCCTCCCAGAACTCCCATCTTCCCTCCCAGAACTCCCCCCTCCCTTCCAGGATTCCCACCTACCCTCCCAGGACTCCCCCCTCATCTCTCTTCCCAGGACTTCCCCGTCCCTCCTAGGGTCCCCACCTGCCCTCCCAGGACTACCCACTCCCTCCCAGGGTACCCCTGAGTGGCTGCTCAAAGGGGGCAGAGGTTTGTGGTTGTTAATCCTGCCAGGCTGGGTCTCAGTGCCCGTCGGAGAAGGTACACCCACTCCCTGGGCCGGCTGGGGTGGG